GTCACTAAAGATGATCTTCTCATTCCTGCCTACATCTTCCAAGTACTGGGTTTACAGGCTTTAACCATCATGGCAGTTTTATGCATTCCTTGGAATTGAACCCAGGACTTCTTGTATGGTAGGCAATGACTCTACTACCAATAAGCTATATTCCTAGCCCCCAATGACATTCATATAATTATATACACTTTGTGTGTGTGCATGTGTGCTCACGTGCATGAGTGTCTGTCTATATTTAGCTTCAGAGAATAACTGATGGGGCTAGAGTTGCCTTGGATTTAATCACCAGCACCAATAATAAAATCTAATGGGATCCCACCCATAGACAAAGAACCACTGGCAACTAATGACTTCTGAGAGAGAGAAAGTCTTTCCCTAATTGGTTATCCAATACAGAGTGTTATCCCTGAAATCATATACTCACAAGCCACACTATGGACTCATAGGGCTGTATTTAACATTTTGCATATATTTAATGACAATAATAATAATAATAATAATAATAATAATAAAAGAGGGAAAAAAGAAAAAATAATAAGAGGCCATCAATTAGAGGGAGGAGACATGAGAAGTGTTGGAGGGAGAACAGGGAAGGAGTAGGAAGTGATCTAACTATATTTTAACTTAAAATTTTTTAATAAAAATGTAATATTTAGGCCATACATAGAGTTCTACATAGAGTTCTAAGATAGCCAGGGCTACATAATAAGACCCTGTCTTAATAACAACAACAGCAGGTAGTGGTGGCACATACCCTTAATTCCAGCACCCAGGAGGCAGAGACAACATGGTGTCAGCACATTAAAGCCAGTTCTGAATGCTGACTTTTATAGTTTTAAATGTTCTGTTTTCTGGTGGGGGACAGGTGGCAGGGAGGAAACCAAAAGCACACTAAGGACTGTGGAGTGCAGAATAAGTCCCGAATGAATGTTAGTTGTTGACATGAATGTATCCATGTTCAGGATGCCATGCCTTGGACCCATGGGTGTGGCAAAGCCTTCCCCCAGATGAGGCTTGGAGGGACAGCAAAGCTTTGCTCTGGTGGAATTGCAAATGTTGACAGTATGTACAGAAACTGTCAACCATATCTTCCTCCTCTTGGAAGACTGTAGCCTAAGGCTGCTCCTCTAAGGGACCCCCTACTTACATTACTTAAACCTGTCTCCTTACTCATACCTATACCATAAACCCTACTCCTTATTCATGTGTATACAGTATCCCCATGGCTTTGATTCAGATGTGTAAATTAAACACACTGAGGTTCCAGGTTGCTGTTGCAGTTGGAGACCACCATCAGAATAGCACAACCCACCAGATCCCAGCTTTTCTGTATGTGTCTGTCTTTCTTTCATTCCTCATCACCCCGTTAGGTCAATTCCAGAAACTGTGCAGTGCATGGCTAAGGACTACGCTTTGCCTAAAATTCAGCTTGAATGAGAACTTTAAGGAGATTTGCAAAGGAAAAATCAAAAACAAAAACATATAGGATCTCTAAATGTCCAGAGAAACCCACCTTAAACTGGAGAGCATGGTGAGAGGGACTGGAAAATAAAGCCCCCTGTTTATAATTTCATCCAAAACAAAGGAGCCCTCCTTTCCCAAGAAATCTCTTCCTCAGGTCCCAATAGAATAAAATGGTAATAAAATGCAACAAACCAAAATAATCATATATCAAGTTGCTGGCATAATCCACAGAGAGAACTCAAGTTACTTAATTCTTGGGGAAAGTGGCTATGCCTCCTCTTCAGTGGCATATATCCTCAGGGGGGGGATTTATTTTATTTTATTTTATTTTGGTTTCTCAAGACAGGGTTTCTCTGTATTGCTTTGGAGCCTGTTCTGGCACTTAGTCTGTAGACCAGGGTGGCCCGGAACTCACAGAGATCTGCCTGTCTCTGCCTCCCAAGTACTGGGATTAGAGGCATGCACCACCACAGCCTGGCTCTATTGATAATTCTTACCTGCAATGGTCATTATGTCTTTGCCATGTGGTGATTCCTGCCTCCTTGGTCTGTGTATATTTGTGTGTGTGTGTGTGTGTGTGTGTGTGTGTAAGTTAGAGGTTGATGTTGTGTCCTCCTCACTTACTCTTCATCTTTTTTTTGAGGCAGGATCTGTATTTATCCTGGAGATTACCAATCAGCTAGACTGACCAACAAGTGCCTGGGATCCTCCTGTCTTTGCCTCTCCAGTACCAGGATTACCAGCACCAGCGGCTATGCCCCATTACTTTCAGCATTCCTTTTACATTAATTGGAATTCCATTGCAAGGAAATGTTGATCCCTTCTTATTCAGTTATGTATTTGTGAAAGATTCATGGCTGTGAGCCTAGCCTTTAACAGCTGAACTATCCCTCCAGCCCTAGGGGCAGGTGGGATGTTGGGGGGAGGGGAGGGAGAGGGAGAAGGGATTGACATCTGAAGCAAGCTTGTTCCTAATTTGAACGAATAAAATAAAATAAATTTAACAAAAAAGTTACTAGCCACCTTGTAACCTTACCTTTGCTTCAAAAGAGTTGTTATGGCTACCTTGCTGTCAATGCCTGTTGTTGTGACCACCTTGCAATCACATCTATGTTTCAGAAGGTCATGATGAGTAACTTGTTTTTCTCTGCTCCTTTAATCCCTCCTAGTTTGCCTTCTAAATCCCTCATTGGGAAACCCCCTTCCCTTGAGAAATAAAAGCCTTGTCTTCCTTACATCTAATGCTGACCTCCCAAACCCTTCCTTTGCGCGGGGGGGGGGGGGGCCAGCCTGTATGTATGAATAAAAAAGCTTTCTTTAAAAAATTTAAAGGCATCTTCCACTCAAAGTTTATCAGAATTTCAAAGACTTTTTAAAAAATAATTTATTGACTCCCTCTGTTGATGTGTCTCTTTTCTTGCTCTCCTCTATTCCTCTCCCGAGGGAGCCACTATAGATTTAAAGAGAAATCTGCCACTAGGGAATTGTACAGACATCCACAAGGATGACACCAACTAGGAACCTAAGGAATAGTAGAGAGGCTACCTTAAATGTCCTTCCCCTATAATGAGAATGATGACTACCTTAAATGCCATCCTAGAGCCTTCATCCAGTAGCTGATGGAAGCAGAAGCAGAGATCCACAGCTAAGCACTGAGCCAAACTCCTGGAATCCAGTTTCAGAGAAGGGAGGAGTAGTTAACAAAGGGATCAAGACCACGCTGGGAAAACCCACAGAAACAGCTGACCTGAACAAGTGGAAACTCATGGACTCCAATCTGACAGTTGGGGAACCAACATAGGACCAAACCAGGCCCCATGAACGTGGGTGTCAGCTACGTGGCACTGGACAGTCTATGGGGCCTTTAGCAGTGGAACCAGGATGTATCCCTAATGCACAGACAGACTTTGGGAGCCCATTTCCCATGGAGAGATACTCTCTTAGCCCAGATACACAGGGGAGGGCCTAGGCCCTGCCCCAAATGACTTGACAGATTTTTATGGTCCCCCATGGAAGGTCTCACCCTCCCTGAGGAGTGGATGGGGGATGGGATGGGGGTTGTTGGTGGGGGGGGCATGGGAGGATGGGAGAGGGAACTGGGATAGATATGTAAAAGATTGTTTCTAATTTAAATAAAACTTATTTAAAAATAAAAAAAAGATTCATGGCTATTTCTTTCCCATGGCTTATAATGTACCACTATCAGCACTCATTTCATCCTTCATCCTCTGTGGATGACAGAACAGGACAGAGCAATGACCAAGATGTCAGTTCCAGGAAGAGGGAACAAATCAGCCAAAGCATATGAGGGACTTCGTAAGAACTTTCAGGCACATTCTCCTTCCATGTTGCATTGACCATGGGGATCATAAATTAAAATATTAGGGTATCTTTTATCCTGGGTTCCCAAGTAACCTCTTAGAAATGGTCTGGCCAATCCATGCCGGACATTTGAGTGGAAAAGTCAACCTCTATTTCTCTGATCCAATGATAATTTGAGGTTGACTTGTCAAGGCAACATAAACTACTCTACTGTGGCTAATACAGTCCAAACTTTAAGAAATCATCTGCACATTTCCCTTGTTTTCCTAAAGTCTTGTGTCCTGATCTTTATATTTATAGTGTTTGGGTAACAGTGACAAACAGGAGACATGCTTTTCCCAAGCATAATGGACAAAAGAACTGCTTGTCTAAAACTGAGTTCCTCATGAAAAGAAGCAAGCTAACAGAAAGTCAAAGAACAAATACGGGCTAAGGCTGAACTCATACTTCTATGGTCAATTTGCTTGCATTTACTTATTTTTATTTTTGAGACACTCTCGCTAAGTAACCCAAGCTTGCCTTAAACTAAGTAGCTAGCCTGGCCTCCGACTCTGGCGATCATTTTACCTCAGCTTCCCAAAGGAAGGAATGACAGGCATGTACCACCACACCCAGCAACATCCAACAGTTAACTGTTAAGTCTATTTTTGTTATTCTCACTCAAGTCAACAAGGGCAACATTTTGCAAGGCTATGTGATCTTTTAAAAGGCAAATTAGTGGCAGAACCATTTCTAGAGACCAGATGGTCTGCCTTTCAAGTCTTGACAACATGGCTTTTCTGTGTGCTGGGACAAGGTTGCAAAGCTGTACCACCAGCGCGACCCGCCTTTGCACCTTCACTGTGGCTTGTGGGGCACAGTGCAAGAAAAAGGCCAGGCCTCCCTGGGCCCCCGACTTTCCCACGCAGGCGCCCTGGGGGTCCCGCCTCCTCACCCGCTAGCCTCGCGTAGTGACGGAAGGCGTCCCCAGCTCCACCCCTTTTTTGGTTAATTCTTTAATGGGCGGCCGCAGGTTCCTTAGATGGGCAGAACCTTCGCCGGCAGCCACTCTAATTGGCCTGCAGACTGGCGCGGCGCATGATGTCGTTTCTACTCCGTCACTGCGTTTAGGGCGTGGTCTCAGCTCAGGGCGCCTCAAGGAGACTTGGGGACGTCCGAACCACTCCTTTTGAGTGCCCCGGTGCCCTGGCCACCGCGTGGATCTGCTGCGCTCCATGAGGAAGATGCTCGCCGCTGTGTCCCGCGTGTTGGCAGGCGCTGCACAGAAGCCGGTGAGGCCGCCAGATCCCGGGAGGCTGGGGTGGGGCTCGAGCCTGCCTGAGGCGGAGCGGGAGGAGGGCTGGCTGGATCCCCGGTGAGCTCGGCTGGGTGCCGGGACGAGCTCGAGCTACCGAGCTCGCATGGGCCAGCTGCGCGGTGCATGTCGTCCCGGCCCGGGGAGGAGTGGCTTGAGAAATGGCTCCCTCCACCGGGCCTTCCCCAATCCAACTGGCAGAGCTCCCCAGCTCCCCAGCAGCGCCCCAGATCCTCCCGTTGCTTATGGGACACAGGGAGGCGGAGCTTGGGTTTGCTCCAGCCTCCATGGACTCCGCTGACTTGCACTCTCCTTCTTGTCATTGCTCTTGGCCAAGAGGCCACGTAAGATGAAATAAAAAGCTCGCAATCCCGGGACTCCGAGGTTCCATGCACATCCCGACTTCATCGTTTGCTCGTCTTGAGTCCTTACCAAGTACCAAGAATTAAAGAGATTTTTTTTTTTTTAGTCGTCTTAGGGCCCAGTTTCCTCATCTCTATAATGGAGGTACTAAGATCGCTACCTCATGGGTTATCTTGAGTCAGGGAGTGGCACGTGTGCCAACCTCTCTGCCTGGCACCTGGCGCGTACGGGTGCCCCAGCTGTACGGGTGCCCAGGTGAGCATTTGTGTATCATCTACCTATGCTTGGTTCTAAGTAGAGTTCATACAGGGTCAGGCTCATGGAAAACAAACTTCCTCCACTCCCTGCTCTTCTGACTCCTTTTTTTTTTTTTTTGGCAGTGAATTTAAGAGTAATCGGGCCTAACCCAGAGGAAGCCGCCTTTACTCTTAAACACACAGGAGCTTAGAGTTCAAAGTAGCGAAAGAAAACAGCAATGATTTTCGGAGGACACGGATTAGAGGTTAAGACTTACTTATGGCCCAGGCTTTAAAAGGTGTCTAGCACCTAAGCTTTTAGTATTTTGATCTCTAGCCTAGCCACACAGAGGTTGTGTTTTCTTGGTGTAACAGGTACCAGGCTTTGATTTGTAATTCTTGTTCTGTTCATTTCTTCAGGATTTGATGCAATTCTCCTTAGTTTAGGGAGGTTGTGGAAAGGTTGAAAGTGTACTTTTCCAGGAATTCCATTAAGTAATAGAAAAACAGTGTTTTATTGAGTGAATGCTCTATTAGTGTTTCAATCTGAATCGGCAGTAAAGCACATTTCTTAGTGTGTCTTTGCATATGTATAGGCCATTTATTGAGCTCTTAGTATGTGCCCTGAATTCGGCCAGCATATTCACAGGTGTTAAAACTGCATTATTTTTATTGGTTTGAACAAGTTTCTTGTGTGTAGAAATGTTAGTTGAAGGGTAATTTGTTTATAGCGTGGAGACTGGACATGGAATAAAGATGAAAACTAAAAGAAGCTTTGGCGGGGTGTTGGTGGCACACGCCTTTAATCCCAGCACTCCGGAGGCAGAGGCAGGCGGATCTCTGAGTTCCAGGCCAGCCTGGTCTCCAGAGCGAGTGCCAGGATAGGCTCCAAAGCTACACAGAGAAACCCTGTCTCGAAAAAAAAAATAAAATAAAGGAAGCTTTGTTCCCCTCAGCAGAAAGGGGAAAAACAGCTCTTACTAAATCAAAGTTTTAAGAAGTTGAATTAGAATCTTAAATCAATAAAAATCCAGCTGCGGGGTGGTGGCTCACGCCTTTAATCCCAGCACTCGGGAGGAAGAGGCAGCTGGGTCTCTGAGGTCGAGACCAGCCTGGTCGACAAGAGCTAGTCCCAGGACAGCCTCCAAAGCCACAGAAAAACCCTGTCTCAAAAAACCAATAAAATCAATAAAAATCCTACCTTCCACTTTTAAGACATGTGCTCCCATTTTGGAGTATAGAGGGCAATAAGAGCCTGGGGACACCCTTAAATGTTTGTTAGATGCTAGACCTTGGGTGTGTTTAGTTTCCTTTATTCACCTTACAGCAGGAAAAAATGAATTCTAGAGTTGAATTCACCATAGAAAGAACCCAGTTATTTTGCTCACTTGGTGGTGTTATGGTGTAAACTCTCCAGTAGCTACCTTTTTAATTCCTTTTTGAGACAAGGTCTTTCACTACGTATCCCAGGCCGGCCTGGAACTCAGATCTGCTTACCTCTACCTCCTGACTGATTGCATTAAAATCTTGTGTTACCACATCTGGCCGGCTAAGATGGTGGGTGGAGTAGCTTGACCTGTGTTTCTGCCTGTCTCCTTCAGTAAGGGGTTCACTGGAGCTCTGACCAGCCTCCTGTCACAGAGATAGATCCCTGCCTGCCTTTGCCTCCTGAGTGCTGGGATCAAAGGCACCACACCACATCACACCACGCCTGGCTGTTAATTTCTTTGCGACTATACTTGTTACATGCTAATTAGGAACCATTCCTGAGGATTTTTAAATGTTGAAAACTTCCAAGTTTCACTTCAGAGTAGACCATTAAACTCTAATGAATCTTTTTATTGTTTGCAATTCTAAGTAATTGCAGTTTTCTTTTTATTTCAGCCTATGTAACGCAAAATAGCTCGATTTTTTTAGGTTTTCATGTTAAACATATGAAAAGACTTTTACATTTAATTTAAGCCTTGCAACAAGATCCTTACAAATAGTAAGCAGTGGCTCTTCAAACTTGTGTAACTAGAGCTGCAGTGGCCAAGGGATACTCAGTGGGGGAGGGGGATTAGGCACTTGCTTCTTGATAGCTGAGATACTATGCCTAAAGTTTTCCTCTGAGGCCTCTACCTGTTTTGTACCTTTCCACGTTTTATTAGGGAAGTGTGGAGATGTACTTCAGTTTTGTATGTGTAACTTCGAAGTGGATTATAAAAGTGTGGTTTTACTTTTAAATGAGGTGAAAGACTGAACTACATTTAAAATTTTTATTTTGCCTTATTGCTTGTATTTTTTATGTTTCCTTTTGTGAGATTTTTACTACCAATATCATTTTTTCTTGCCTTTGCGTATTAGGTAAGGTTTTTAATTCATGTTGGTACTTTCTGAGAATTCTTAGAATACTTTTGAAAATTCTTTCTGTATTTAGATACACGTTTTTATTTTTGTTGAATAAATTGTTAAGGTCTCTGGGAAAGGAATTTCATTAGGGGCTGAAGTGTAGCTCAGAGTATGCACATAGCATACGTGAGGTCCTGTGTTCAATCCCTAGCCCACCCCAACAAAAAGAAAACCCACCAGGAATCCCATTTCAAGAGAATTATTTTTGATTGTTCTAGACAGGATTTTTCTGTGTAGCCTGGCTGTCCTAGAACTCCTGTAGATTACTCAGAGAGAGCCACCTGTCTCTGCCTCCCCAGTGCTGGGACTAAAGGTGTGCCCCACCACACCCAGCTCTATAAATTTTATCTTTGAGAAAGAACTTATCTTTGCTACCAATGCCTCGCTGGTTTACGAATGAAAAAAATAAAAAAGGAAAGTTCATAACTGTTCCTAGGAATGGTTGAGGAGAGTTTATTGTAGGTATGAGGGAGAGCATAGTCAAGAGGCAGGAACATCTGGGAGAGTCCAGAGTGGACACAACCAGACTGAGCTGGGCCATGTGGGGAGGGGTGGGCATAGGGAAAAGGGAGAAAGGGGAACCAAGTGCTGCAGCCAGGTGGCCAAAGGTACTAAAAGGGAAGGGTAACTAACCACTGTGTCTGGATTGTATAGGGAAGAGCCTCTGGGGCTGGGAAATGCTGGGAGAACCTGGCTGGCAAGTCCAGCTTTGATATGTTAAATAGGTACCTAGACGTTTGTTGGGGGTTTGAAACTTAAGTTTTGTCTCTGCCTTAGATTGTTCCCCAAATTAGTTTCTGTAGTTGTATCTAGAAACTTGTTTTGCAATAGAATAGCTTTTTCTAGCTCCACAAAATCTCCCCCCCCCCTTTTTTTGGTTTTTTGAGACTGTGTTTCTCTCTGTAACAGTCCCGGCTGTAGGCCAGACTGGCTCTGAACTCACTGAGATCCACCTGCCTCTTCCTCCTAAGTGCTGGGATTAAATCATGTGCCACTACCGCCCGGCCACAAAATCATTTTAACTGCCAAAAAAAAAAAAAATAGCACAACCATTTGTTTGCTTCTTGGTTGGTCTCAGGTTTATTTTTTCTACATTTTTCTTCATTCTAAGATAGCTGTTTACACATTCTCTCTACCTGATTTAACTGAAGCATCCATTACTGGTATTTAGTTGGATTTTTTCCTTGGGTAGTCATTGCCTTTGTTGGCTTTATCAGAAATAATACAGCAGTTGCCATATTGTGCCCCTCCCCACCTTGTGTCCCTGGCTTTGCAAATTTCCCTAGTTTCAGTTACCTCTTGTCAGATATGGTCTGAAAATACTCATGGAAAAGTTTCAGAAAGAAATAATTCATGAGTTTTAATCTGTGTGCTATTCTGACTAGAATAACATAATCCTATACTGTCCATATTAGATTAGGATGTAAATCATCCCTTTGGCCAGGTGTCCACCCTGTATATTCCACCCACCCCCTGATTATCATCAGATCAGCTGCCTTGGTGTCACAATACTCACACATGGCATTAACTGTTTGCAGTGGCTTTGGGCTTCTACTGAGAATCTAAGACTATATCCTGTACATAGGTAAATAGAGGCTACTGCAGGCCTGTAATTCCAGCATGGGGGGGGTGGAGGCAATGGAAAAGAGTAAGAGAGAGCTAAGTAGAATTTTCACTCTGCCTTTTGGCTCATACATTTGGAGGTATAACTAGTATGCTGATCTTAACTCCTCACCAAGGTCAAGTCCAGTGCTACAAAATTATATCGGGGTACATATTAAACATGTTTTTCTATGGGATCTGGTAAATGTGCTTTACATCTCCAGGAAAAGAAATGATGCTAGTTTACATGTAAGTATGTGAAAATGTGGCTGTGGCTAGAATAGAATAATTGTTTTTGTGCTCTATCGCTTAGAATGTTTTTGTTGTATTCTGATTGTTCAGTTGTGAGGGTAGAAAGGAATCAGTAACTCTGAGTAATGATAGCACTCAAACCAGTCAGGGGAATACTGTTTTAAGAAATATTCTTCTGTTATGGGGCTTCAGGAGGAGCCTTCTCAACATTTAGGCTGCTCCTGTTATAGAATGGCTGACCCAAATCCATTGTTTTTGACAAGTGTTCACATGGTTTTCACTAAGGTATTTATCTCACACTTTAGTTTTTTTTCTTCATGGGTATGTCATAGAAAAGTACTTTGCCTTAAATAGGGATTAACAGATAGTTTTATTTGCAGTATTTTCGAATAATAAACCTTAAAAAGCCCATACATAATCTAGTTTCTTATTTGACCAGTTATTATCCTCACTGTAATTGCTTTGAAAACAAAGTGGGAACTGGATAGGTTTGACATTTGCCACCTTCCTTTTTGTCTTCAGATAGTGATATGGCTGTGTTTAAAATCCATAAGCAGCTAGGCGGTGCACTCAGGAGACAGATCTCTGTGAGTTCAACATCAGCCTGGTCTACAGAGTGAGTTCCAGGACAAGCCTCCAAAGCTACAGAGAAACCCTGTCTCAAAAAACTACAAAAAAAATCCTTAAGCATGGATTCATGATAGTAATGACTTGTTCTTGACAGTAAAAAACAAAAGTGATGACTTTATTTTCATATTTTTGTTTTCTAGGCAAGCAGAGTGCTAATAGCTTCCCGTAATTTTGCAAATGATGCTACATTTGACATTAAGGTAAGAGGTGTTTCACTTCCTATTACTAGTTTTTTTCACAGGTACAGTCAAATTCAGTTTCACCTTTAAGGAGTATTTTGATACTGGTGCTTTGAAGATGGAGTCACTTTCTTTCAAATATTCTAGAATCAAAGGTTCAGAGAAGTTTAGTAAGAATAACTTGCTGGTGGTTTAACGGAGAGGGGCTTGAAAAATACACTCTGGCAGGGTTGTTCAACCTCTTGACATTCTGACATGTTGTCATCTACAAATATGTTTGGTTGAACCAATAGCTATCCTGGCACATGGCCCTTTTTGAGCCAGAGGTTGGGTATACCTGTGGTATAGGGTGTGAGTCAGTGAAACATTGATGACCATAAATTTAAGGACTCAGAAGCATTTTGTAGCACTGTTTTTGTTTTGTTTTCGAGGCAGAGTTTCATGGAGCCTGGGTTAGTCCCAAACTCCATCTAGCAAAGGATAACCTTAAATTCTTGCTCCTCCTGCCTTTACCTTTCAAGCGATGGGATCAAGGTGTGTGCTATCATTCATTATTCTTGCAGCAATGCTGAGGCTTGTGTTTCTTAGCTGCTGTTCAGGTTGTGTATTATTTGTGTGGAGTTGGATCTTAGAACGAGTCAGCAGTATTTGTGGAGGGTGACCACCTTATTTCATTTCAGAAATGTGACCTTCATCGGCTAGAAGAGGGTCCTCCAGTCACCACAGTGCTCACCAGAGAAGATGGGCTCAAGTACTACAGGATGATGCAGACTGTGCGGCGAATGGAGCTAAAGGCAGATCAGTTGTATAAACAGAAAATTATTCGTGGTTTCTGTCACTTGTGTGATGGTCAGGTAAGTGATAGGTTTGTTATACAGACGTGTATGTTATTAGGATATTTTAAATAGGTTTCTTTCTTTATGCCTTCTTTCCCGTCATCTCTTTTACTTCCCCTTCACCCTAGGCTTTTAAAATATTAAAAAAGCACCATTTGTTTACTTATTTTGTTGTGTGTGGGGTATGTATGTGTGGTGGGGGGTCAGAGGACAGCTTGCAGGATTTGGTTCTTCCCTTTTACCATATGGGTTCCAGGGATTGACCTCAAGCTGTCAGGCTAGATAGCAAACTTCTTTACTCACTGAGTTCTCCCTTTGTGTCTGTCCTCCCACTGTCCAAGATGGCTTGAAATTCCTGGAACTTGACAATGCTACCTCATCCCCCAGAATGCTGGGATTATAGGCATGAGCCATCACACTTAGCTTTAAATATGGTTTCTGTTTTTATTGGTTTTCACACTGCTGCTTGGATCAGAAGGATTTGAAATAGGGATTTCAGAATAAAAGGTAGAATGCTAGGACCCACTATGAATTTTAAGCATAAGAATTCGTTCATACTTAGCATGACTTTTATATCTGTTCTTAGAATTCTAGTTTTAAAATTTGCTAGAACCCCACTCACCTACACTGAATACATTCTTGGGAAAAGGTTATTTTGTTGTTGTATGTATGTGTGTATTAATTACTTCCTTTTTTGACAAATAGCCAACAGAAGCAATATAAGGAAGTATTTATTTTACCTCACAGTTTGAAGGTACAGTCCATCTTGGTAGGGAAAGCATGGCAGTAGATGCGGAGATAGATAGCTGGTCATATTGAATCTGCAGTCAGGTCAGGAAGTGACTGCAGATCAGACTGCAGTGAATGCTATTGCTCACCTTGCTTTCTCCTTTTTCATTCAATCTGGGATCCTAGGCAATGGGGAGGTGCCATCCACATGTAGGGTGGGTCTTCCCGCTTCAGCCCAAGAAACTTCTTCATGGACATGCCTAGAGCTTTTTAAGTTGACAGTTACTATCACAATGGGTTACAGCCACTGGTTCTAAGCTCAGAAGCCTACAGGAGCTAGCTAGGTAGAATAAATGACTGAAGTAAGCTATATATAACAAAATGTGGACAGTGTAAGATGGATCAGTGGAGAGTTAGGATGGTTATGCCCTACCCAGAGAGGCTATGACTTGGTTCCAGTCAATTACTTCTGTGTGGAAACATAACTAGGGCTTCTTTGGTTTTCATGCATTCTATCAATTTTCTAATGTTGACATCCAAGTGGCAGATTATATTTTTAAACTCTGTCAAGGCATATTTGTGCATTGGTTATGGCTTCTAGTTTGGACCTTACCCTCTACTTTGTTTTTTTGATGAAAAAGTATTCATTTTCCTTGAGTTACAAATGACGGGTTTATTGATCCATGGGTTTTGTTTGATTATTTTTTGTCTGTTTTAGTTTTTCTAGACAGGGTTTCTCTGTGTGGCTCTGGCTGTTATGGAACTCACTCTGTAGACCAGTCTGACCTCAATCTCACAGAGATCTGCCTCTGTCTGCTGATAAAGTGTGTGCCACCATTGCCCAGCTTGATCCAAGGTTTTTAAAATGTTGGATCTCTAATAGAAACTTTTTATTCAAAAATAAATAATGGCATTACTTCATGGTTCTTCTTTTACCACAGGAAGCCTGCTGCGTGGGCCTGGAGGCTGGCATAAACCCCACGGACCATCTCATCACAGCCTATCGAGCGCATGGCTTCACCTTCACTCGGGGCCTACCTGTCCGAGCAATTCTTGCAGAGCTAACAGGTTTGCTATGGATTTACAGAAAGGGATAGTGAGTGGAGGAAATTTTCAAGTATCTCCCATTAAATTACTAAGCATTATAAGTTAGTGGTAAAAAAAAATAGTTATTTTGTTTTTGAAACAAGCCTTGTGTGTATCCTGGTACTTCTGATGTGCCTCTGAATAAACCATTTATGAGGTCATCTGGCCCCTCAAGTAAAATTGGAAAAGCATAGCCCTGTATAGTGGGAATAAAGTTCACTATCACTAAAACTTGAGACACATAGCAAAGAAAGTAAATTGGGTTGAAGTGATTTGTGAAATGTAGGCAGATTCTAGACAATCTGTTTCATATTCCTCTTTTCTGTGACTGTTTTGAACCTTACATTATTTAGTGTGCCAGATAGAAGTGAGGTGTGTGTACTCCCCTCTGAACTCAATGTCAAAAATACCATTGGATTAGCCTAACCTCCTTATCCCAGATGGAGATGAGGAGTGTATTTTCCTGGAGAGACAGGTGTTTAGACAATTGGATTGTGTGGTGGTTATTGCTTTGTGTGGTTGGTTTTTCATGCATGGGTGTGTGTGCTGCCATTTCTAGGACGAAGAGGAGGTTGTGCTAAAGGGAAAGGCGGATCCATGCACATGTACGCCAAGAACTTCTATGGAGGCAATGGCATCGTTGGAGCTCAGGTAGTTGAGGAAGAGCACGTCCTTTAGTATATATTTGATCCTGGTCTGTGACTTCACCCAGAGAACTTCTCTGAAGGAGTTCGATAATTTGGGAGTTTGATTTGTCTTTAAATACTTACTGCTTATCTTGCCAGTTGTGTAATTAATAAGTAGATTTGGGTAGTGATTTTAAAGTTCATGGTTTTTTTCTTTTTTCTTTTTTTTTCTTGCTCAAACTACCACACTCATCAAATACTTCTCAGTAATGGTGATTGTGGCATTCTATTCTTCCAGATCTATATTATCCTACTGCTTTGAAAAAAAAGTGGGTAGGGGACAAAGAGTAAGAAAAAAAAGTTCGTGTTTTTGTTGTGTTTTATGAGTAAAAGGCTATAGCAGTGGAGCTATCCCTTCACCTTTCTTTTACTATTTCAGTAAAATTAATGGCTCATCACCTCATTCACTCACTGATATACTCATAAGCAGTGTAAGCACTGGGGCCCAATTGCAAAAGAGCAGCTTGTTAAATTGATAGTGTAATAAAAAAATCAAAAGCCTTAATATTCATCAATAGTCTTCATTCTCATCAGTTAATGAGAAGTGAAACAAAACAGCATGCAACAATGTCTACTACAGTGAGTTTTTAGTGTGTGTGTGTGTGTGTGTGTGTGTGTGTGTGTGTATTACATTCAGGTTCACTTTTTATCTTGTTGGGACCAGTAATTAAAACTTTGGGTGCAGAAATGTGAAACAATATAGGATTTATTCATGTTTTGTTGAAAATAACAGGGTAGGTGGATAGTGACGGGGTTGGGAATGAAGACTGAAGCACTGGTTTAGCTTCCCAGGTTCTCTTCAGGAGTTGAAATTTAAATGCATTTTAACTCTGATTAATTCCTACAGTTCCTTTCTTGGTTGTTGTTTATGTTAGGTGCCCCTAGGAGCAGGGATTGCTCTGGCCTGCAAGTACAATGGAAAAGATGAGGTCTGTTTGACACTATATGGTGATGGCGCTGCTAATCAGGTAAGTGCATCTCTTAATTTGCAATACAATTACTTTTATTTCCAAGTTATGACTGGTCATATTTGGATTTATAAAGAAATGACATACTGTTTATTAACTGAAATGGCACTTCATGTGGCTGACTCACATGAGAAATTTATCTCTTGACATGAGTTACCAGAGCTTTCTAGGGGCAAATTTCTGTGAGGAAACTCCTTTTGCTTTATATTGGTGCTTTGCAAATATGCTCTGTTGTGGGAGATTTTTTAAAATTCCTTTTTAAAGATCTGTTTATTTCTAGTTTTGCCTACATGTATGTTTGTATACTGCATGTGTGCCTGGTGCCCATGGAGGTCAGAAGGTCCCCCCTGGAACTGGGGATAAGGATGGCTGTGAGCTGCCATGTGGGTGCTGGAAACTGAACTTGAGTTCTCTACAAGAGCAGCATGTGCTCTTACAGCTGAGCCATAGGTCCAGCCTTACTTGTTAAATGTATACCCCATTACAAACCAATAGTGCGATATAGAGGCTCTTAATTTCTTGGACTCCAGGGCAATGCCCGATTCCTATCACATCTGAACCTTGGCTCTTGGTTTCTTTGCTCATCCTGTCTTGGTTTCAGTAATTACCAGTCTCTGGATGGCATTTAGTGCTACCCTGTCCGAGATGCTGAATCTCAGATGCTGCTAGTTCACTCTAATTATTTGGTCAAGTGAGTGTGACTAATAGAGTATAAAACTAATTGGTAGCTCAGTGCTTTTCCATGGTCCTGTTTGCAGTTGGTCTATATTAGTAGATCCCCAAAATGTATTCTAGTCATACAATACCCACCACATTTCCCTATCACAGGCAGCACATGCTCCTTTCCCCTCACCATCGGAAACTTTGTGCAAGCTTTCTGTGTTAGGCAGAGCAACACCTGTTAAGAAATGCTAAAAAAAAGTCTAGAGAAATAGATTAACCACTCAAACATTTTATATACTTTCAGGGTCAAATATTTGAAGCTTACAATATGGCAGCATTGTGGAAATTACCTTGTATTTTCATCTGTGAAAATAACCGCTATGGCATGGGGACATCTGTCGAGAGAGCAGCTGCCAGTACAGATTACTACAAAAGAGGAGATTTTATTCCTGGACTGAGGGTAAGCTTCCTTATTGTAGAGACAAAAACCATACCCTGTCAGCTAGACGCTCTATAGTTTTATCACATTAGTCCTGAATAGGTCATTGAAAGTTGAATGGGAGGGCAAGCGGTGTGTGGCTCAGTGGCAGAGCACTTGCCTAGCATGTGTGAGGCCCTGGATTCCATTCTTTACCACCACAATAAAAGGGAAATGGATTTGGACAATTCACTTACATTCTGCCTCTCCCATCTTTATTAATAGGTAGATGGAATGGATATCTTGTGTGTCCGAGAGGCAACAAAGTTTGCAGCTGCCTATTGTAGGTCTGGTAAGGTAAGATAAGATTATAGGTTATAAGTTTATAATGATATTATCTCAAAGTTAAAAGAAGCTGTTGGAGCTATCCTGGGGTAATGACTAAGTGAGGTCTCTAAGACAAGCAGAGTCCAATGAGGTAGCATGGTCTTGGCTCACCTGGTTGGTTTCCTTGGCATTTTGCCTCTGTCTTCACTTTGACAAGCTGTTTTGTCTTTTGGTTTGGTTAATTATGTGTTCCCATCCCTCTGTGTTCCCATCCCTCTGTTAATCGTAAGTCATTTGATCCCCACAATACATAATTTTACTTAGATAATAGGTAGGCATTCAAGTGCAGTCTATCTTGCTGCTTTACCTGTCAGTGTATGGCGATAAGGGAGAGGGGAACAGAGACTGGCTTAAAAGGTTCAAGTAGCTAAATTTTAGTAGAGTTCTAACCACAGAAAACATGCCCCTGCAGTTTACTTTTGGTAAAATTGAGAAAGATGAAACATGAGATAAATAGGTGTTAGGAATCAGTCCAGACTGGGTGGTGGTAGCGCACGCCTTTAATCCCAGCACTTGGGGGAGGCAGAGTTAGGCAGATCTCTGTGAGTTTGTGGACAGCCTGGTCTACAGAGTGAGTTCCAGGGCAGGCTCCAATGCTAGAGAAAACCTGTTTGAAAAACAAACAAAAAAGGTCAGTCCTGGTGGTGGCACATGCCTTTAATCCCAGCACTTGGGGAAGCAGGGGATCTCTGTGCATTTGAGGCCTGCCTGGACTACAGAGTGAGTTCCAGGACAGCCAGAGCTGTTATACGGAGAAACCCTGTCTTGAAAAACATCAGTTAACCAGTAAACTCTTGACAACTCAGCTGATACATAGAAGATGGATAAGAATGTATTGGATGTTGTGGGGGGGTTTCTTCATTTGAGGCAACAATTCTTGGCACACATCCCCATAGTTCCTAACCATCTGTTTTAGGGGCCCATCCTGATGGAGTTACAGACTTATCGTTACCATGGACATAGTATGAGTGACCCTGGAGTCAGGTAAAGTCATGGGGTATCTGAGTGTGGTTTCCATGGTAGGTGGGCAGGCTTTGAGCTATTTAAATAAAATAGTAGAGCACTTCATCATGGCTCTTACAGCCAGATAAAACTATTTGTTGGCATCAAGTGGTTGTTTTTAAGTCTTGGTCTGAAGAGCCCTATAATGTATCTTACATGTTAGCATGAGCAGTGATTTTAAGAAGAGCATTATGTAACTAAATTGAAATATAGAACTGTCAAGAGAATTATTTTGGGAGTCATTTAGTTTATTTGGGCATTATTACCCCAAATTCAGGCATGGCATATTCTACCCATAGAGCACTGAGACTTGAAAATCTCACTGGTGGGGAGCAAGGCTAACTGCCACGTGGAAAGTTTTAAGTTGTTCCCTTTTCACTTAGCTCTAGCATGTAATTATAAATTAGGCTTGACACAGTTAAAAGTAGTCAGTGTACTCAAAGTTCAGCCATTGTAGTGGCTCTCAACCTGTGAGTTGCAATGATCCTGTCAGAGGAGTCACATACCAGATAGCTTAAACTATGATTCATAAAAGTAGCAAATTTACAGTTAAGAGGTAGCGATGGAGATAGTTTTATGGTTGGGACTCATTAAAACATGAGGAACTGTACTAAAGGGTAGCAGCATTAGGAAGGTTGAGAACCACTGGATTAAGAGAAACAAAATTAGGTGGGAAATGGATTTTGTGTAGTAATTGTCCCATCATATAGAACCCTTATATTTTATTAGAAACCTAGTGCGTTCAGGATATTGCTGGCCACGCTGCTTTGGGGTCTTAGTGAGAAAGGCAAGGTGTATTTATTCCCTACTTTGTATGATGCTTCAAATCCTATAATTATCACCACTGCCAGCTCTCTTGCCCCATCCATGTAAAAACTTGAGGCTAAAGGGGGTAGAACTGGTGACCTTTTCTTCCAGGTTAAAGAAGCAAATAAAAACTTGGTCTTCATCAGAATGCCAATGAAGCCCCAAGTTACAGTGAATTAACTTTCTATAAGAGATGCCTAACAGCCTGTTACACCTATTATTCCCACAGTGATATTGGTATTAACTTGTTCCTCTCATTCAGAAATACACTCCTGTACTTCACTAAGCTGTCTGGTTCACAGGCACTGTTCTTACGAGTCTGTCCCTGCATCTCCCTTCCCCATAGTTACCGCACTCGAGAAGAAATCCAAGAAGTAAGAAGTAAGAGCGACCCTATTATGCTTCTCAAGGATAGAATGGTGAACAGCAATCTCGCAAGTGTTGAAGAATTAAAGGTACAGTTGCTCTTGGAGATTTAAGCTTGGCTTTAAAGGTTGGTTCTCTGTGACCAGTTTCCCATATATCACAAAATGTCACTACCAGGTGGCTGGAGAGTTGAGTTTTTCCAAACCCAGAAAGCGATCTGATGAGGCTATTGTTTTTTGGTCTTTCTGCTGAGAACTAAGAGTTGAAGGGCAAGGGATATGGCTCAGTTGGTAAAATGCTTGTTGCGCAAGTATGAGGATCTGAGTCTGGATTTCCACCACCCACATAAAATGGGCACAGTGGTGCATGTGTACAACCCTAGCTCTGGATAGAGGTAGAGACAGATAATGCTGTCTCAAAAAATAAGGTGGAGAGTAATAGATGATACCTGACATCAGCCTCTGGCCTCCACATAGAATTAAAGAGTTGAAAGGTAGGCCACTGCCTAAGATTAATAAGCACATTAGTACAAAAACTTTGTTTCCTCCTTTTTTTCTAAAAATATCCTTTGCATTTAGAGTCACATATAATAGTAACAGGTTCTCAGACACCGTAGCTGGTTCCAAAGCTGCCCTTAATTGAAAAATCTCTTGCAATGTATTCTGGTGTTTAGGAGATTGATGTGGAAGTGAGGAAAGAAATCGAGGATGCTGCCCAGTTTGCTACAGCTGATCCAGAGCCGCCCTTGGAGGAACTAGGCTATCACATCTACAGCAGCGATCCTCCCTTTGAAGTGCGTGGTGCCAACCAGTGGATCAAGTTTAAGTCAGTCAGTTAATGGGAAATGGAAATAGATGGGTGTTGGGTGTTCATCATCCACTGTAAGAACCCTTTGTGCTTTCAACGTTAAGGACAGGAAATACCCAAACAAAAAGTCTTGAAAACATGTAAATTAAGGAAGAGTGAGTTGCATGTTGTTGTATGCAGTGTATCCATGTGAATAAGAGTGGAAGGGATGTGTATAGGATTTGAAATGGGTAATGTAGTGTTTATGACTTTCCCTCATCTCCTACAACAGTTACTAAAAGGAATAACTTTGCCACTTTTTGTTGTGTGGCCATGGATAGCTGTATGTCCTCCAGGAGGCCTCCTGGGATTGATGCAATGCATGGGAAGAGGAGTAGCAGCTGCTACCCTGCATTGTGGAGGCTGACATCCGTTGGCACTGGTCATCATGTCCCTGTGATCAAAGGCTATAAAATCAGGCATTTTAAAATAAAGCTACTTCAAAGGTAAAATAATTTAATTTTCTCCATTTAGACATTTAACAAACGTGAACTTGTATTCCCATTGCAAGGCACACTTTTTTACATTTAAGTATTATGCTTTTATCTTTCCAGCAGTTGCTATAAGGTATGTTGACTTTTTAAATGAAATACAATCCTAAGAATTTAGTACACTAGATCATGGTTGATGTTACATACAATCCTGTTTATACACAAGGATGACCTAAATTATGCATGCTTGAATTAAGTGAACAGGGGTCCTTCTGTGTAAATGCAGGATTTGTGTGTACATGAACAGAAGCTTTGGCAATAAGCAGGTAGGGTATTTGCGTATTCTCTCCAGCTTGGCTCAGTGTGAGGACTCCTGCGTTTGTCTTCTGTGCTGGGAGACTGCATGCCAGAGTCTACAGAGGACACCACCGCTGCAAAACAGGAGTTTCCATAAGAAAAGCAAATTTGAAAACAGCCACCTCACAAGTAGGAGAAACAAGCATTTGATCTACAGGATTACATTTGCCAGCTACTCTTTCAAATATAATCTCTAACTTATTAAGTGTGTGTCTTTGTCTGGACCTGGTGCCATAAGAGTGTTGGTGGTGGCAAGAGTGGAAAGATAATTTCATTATGATTGGAGGAAGCTACTGGCATTTTGTTAATCTATTTCATTTTAAAATGTTCACTAAGACCTTGTATTATTCAAACCATTTGGAAGCTTTTACCGTAGTCTGAGGCATCTTAGGTCTTCCTTAGTAATATCATCGAGAATATCAGAAAGTGTATAATCCTCTTCAACAATCTGAAACAGTGATTCAGTGTATGAGATAAGCAGCTTAGTGAACAGGGGTCCTTCTGTGTAAATGCAGGATTTGTGTGTACATGAACAGAAGCTTTGGCAATAAGCAGGTAGGGTATTTGCGTATTCTCTCCAGCTTGGCTCAGTGTGAGGACTCCTGCGTTTGTCTTCTGTGCTGGGAGACTGCATGCCAGAGTCTACAGAGGACAACACCGCTACAAAACAGGAGTTTCCATAAGGAAAGCAAATTTGAAAACAGCCACCTCACAAGTAGGAGAAACAAGCATTTGATCTACAGGATTACATTTGCCAGCTACTCTTTCAAATATAATCTCTAACTTATTAAGTGTGTGTCTTTGTCTGGACCTGGTGCCATAAGAGTGTTGGTGGTGGCAAGAGTGGAAAGATAATTTCATTATGATTGGAGGAAGTCACCGGCATTTTGTTAATCTACTTCATTTTAAAATGTTCACTAAGACCTATTATTCAAAACATTTGGAAGCTTTTACCGTAGTCTGAGGCACCTTAGGTCTTCCTTAGTAATATCATTGAGAATATCAGAAAGTGTATAATCCTCTTCAACAATCTGAAACAGTGATTCAGTGTATGAGATAAGCAGCTTTTCAACAGTATCATGGAAATACTTTGATTTAGAAATTTACCTTTTCTATTGTATTTGCATCCGCTCCTTGTAGTTGCAACCAGTCTATAAGCTCTCTGTCTGTTCCCACTTCATCAGGAGGTACTGGATTCTCTGTACCACCTATGATTCCAATTTTGTTTTATTGTATAGTACTGTATAACCATAAAACTGCTTCAAAAGTAACAAAGTGGATGTAATGATGTATCCAAATAGAATGTAAATGAGATGTGAAAAGGAAATGAATAAAACTTTTTTGATTCAGCTACTTTCATAAGTCCTGGGTTTTCTTTCCAGAGAATAAAGTCATCTCTATCTAGATGCCTTTAGTAAGTTTGGAATTAGAGATATCACCAGCCTCATTTATAATGCTTGTTCTCATCTTGGGCTGGATATTCCTGATTATAATGAAACTCAAAGGAAGAAGCGTATGTCCAGTTCTTTATCCCACGAGCTATTTTTATGCTTTAAGAGACAGATATGAGTGTCATTCTAATTAAGGGATCCTTTTTGACATAAAATTGTGGGATGACTCACAGTCAAGATACATTTTTGTTACCCTGTCCTTTCTTAATCTTCTGGGCTCTTCCCCCACCCACTGTGATTTCTGTCCAGTCACCAGAATCAGTTTGCTTATATGGTAACCTCAACCATTTCTCTTCAAGGTATATTTAATAGTTTTTCCATCTTTGACACCTACATCAGAGCAAAGTGAAAATGACTCACCACTGGATTTGTATTGTAACTGAAGATGATGTAATTCTTGAGTTTTCTGTTCTAGAGTTAGCCGTAGAAGATTCTGGTACTCTCTCTCTTTTTGAACTAAGTGTTCCCAAAGTCTGTTTTTAAAAACAAAATCCTCCAATCATTAAGTATCCATATTCAATTCAAACATCTGTTAAGCATCATGTATTGGAAAAACAAAGAAAAGGGTACAGTTCAAATCTAAACTCTGGGGCCCCAAAGAGAATCAGGTTGATTTGTTCCTAATGATTTTTGTCATTAGTTCTTATCCTGTATAGGAGAAGCGTGTTTTCTTTTCCTTGACACCAAAGACCCAATACTAGTAGTGTGGGTATATATTTGCAATGGAGTCATTGACTGTGTCCATCTTGAAATTCATGTTAAAATGGTAGGAAGAGGCCTGGGAAATTAGTGCCTTGTCACCCTTTCAGGACATGGGAGTGTATCTATGCACCCTCGCCAGACATTGGATCTGCCACCAGTGGCTTGATCTTAGACTGTGAAGTATGCAGAGATGTGAAAAATTATTTTATTATTCTATATAAGAGCAGCCTCCTATGGACTAAAATGTATCAGGAACCAAAAGTGAATTTTCTGTTGATCATTAGAACTTGGCCAGAAGGACCATCTGATTATTCAAACCAAGTCTGATAAAGTAGCTGACTCTAGGGTGGGCAGCCTTCTTTCTGCACTCGGTAGTAGCCAAAGCAAGAGTACTATTTTGGCAAGAACAGCCTGGGACCAAGGATGGACAGTGCAAATTGCAGTTGCGTAAGAGGAATGCTGCTAGCAGTCACTTAGTACTCTTAACACCTAGGATTGTCCTTAGTGCATTTAAATCTTAGAACAAACAATTCTTAGGAAGTAAACATCCTTTTCCAAGCACAGTTTCTTTAAGCAACTTATTCTGTCTCGGGTGGGGTCTATGACATGTAGTCTTATTCATGGTCTCCCTGGGATATGAAAGGCAAGTCTTCGTACAGTTAATCCTCAGACTTCTGGATCTCCCCATGCTAGCTCATTAACAGCAGTAAGGAACAGGGTTGCAAGTCAGAACCAAGGCTAGTCCTTTTTGTTTGCTCATGTATCTAATGAACAAGATTACTTTAGCCACATGGCATCCCCTTTTAATTAGTTTATCTGTACTGGTGAACAAAGGACTGTAGTACTAAGCTTTAAATTACGGGAGTTCATTATTGATGCTGTCCAAAAGGGCACAGCTATAATATAAATAAATGGATAAAAACAGTTTGAGGGGGTCATTTGGTAGCAAAATGGAGTGGGAGAAGTATATACTTCTACCCCAGCAAGACCACAAGGAGAAAATACTAGTGGCTCAACACATAAAATATCCTCTCACCTCTGCCCTGCCTGCCTGCCTGCCTGCATCTGTCTCAAGAAGCGCTTCTTTGAGCACATTAAGTAGCTTGAGCCTCTGGTGGCTCCCATTTTAATTTATGTCACATCATGAGGATAGGCAGGCTGTGTATTAGCTAGTCACATTAACACTGAGTTGGATGACTACAAATCTTTCTGCAAAGACATTTTAAAGAAAGGTAAGTTTTATCATTTTAAAACTCCTGAGTGAGCCGGGCGTTGGTGGCGCATGCCTTTAATTCCAGTACTCAGCAGGTGGATCTCTGAGTTCGAGGCCAGCCTGGTTTCCAGAGCAAGTGCCAGGATAGGCTCCAAAGCTACACAGAGAAACCCTGTCTTGAAAAACCAAAACAAACAAACAAACAAAACTTCTGAGTGTTTGCCATCATGGTCATTTAAATTTCATGCCTTAAAAATATCTATATCATTGAAGATACCCTATGAAAGGCCTCACCCTCCCTGGGGAACAGAAAGGGTATAGGATAGGTAGGGGGGCAGGGGAGGAGGGGAGGGAGAGGGACTTGGGATTGACATGTAAAATAATCTTCTAATTAAAATTTAAAAATTTCAAAGAAATATCTACATTAGATCAAAGTTCTGAGTCCCCTGAGGGATGGGTGGACATATATAATACACACACACATATACTCATCCAAAAACGTGTGCCCACCCCCCCCCCCCTCCCTAACTCACCCCTCCATACAGCAAGAAACAACTGCTAGTTTACTATAGCTGTGGATGGTGATTCTCCAAAGCAAAAGGGAATTGTTACTTGCTTACAAGGCTAGATAGTAATGCCTGCCTAGGAATCCACCAGAAGGCTACAGGATATGCCACTCTGCAAAGTGCTATACTGTCCCACTTCCTGTCTTGGGGGCAGGCTACAGCTGTCCCCAGCTGGGCCACATGCCATGCCAGAGCCTCCAATGTGAAGACAAAACTCAGATGGTGCTGCTGCTTTTGGTATGATAGATTTGTGTGTGACCTATAACGAAGCACTGTCCTGATTCCTGGCATTGAAAGAAATAAAGCCTCAGTCTACTGCTGATGCTGTAAATGTTCCCTTGCCCCAGTTTACTCACATATACATTCTCTCCGCCCCTCCCACCTGGATAAAGTTCTTAACAGTGACCAGACGATCTTATACAAGGTGTGGAAGATCCTAACCTGTTGTTCTCTTGCCTGAGCTTGCTCAATTGGAGAGTTGGGTCCTGCTGGTTGGGCTGGCCCTCCTGGATACCCACTGAGCCAGGTCTGGTACCTCTGGGTGTCATGTGTACTTGGCCAAGCAGGTCTACTAAGGGATAGTCCCCTTCCACTTCTGTGTCCTTGTCTACCCCTTCAGTCTCAGAGGCAGGTTCAAAGTGGGCTTGGAGCTCTGTGGAAACACAGACCAAGGGGTACAGAATAGCACTCAACAAAGCAATTCAGTTCACTGCTTGCTGTATGAGGGGACTACTGACCAAAGATGATTTGATTGGACTCCGCAGGGTAAATATAGTCCCACTTTACACAAGAAGAAATGGACAATGAAGGCTGTAAAGGCCAGTTAACCACGGATGGCTACAAATAGGCCCATGCTCTGCTTGGTGCCTGTTCAAGGAATATTTCAGAGAGCAGGCAGAAGTGACCAGCAAGGGCCCAGTGTCAAGAGTGGAAGGGAGAGAGGCAACAATTCTAAAGCCTGCCCTTCCTCAGCCAAAGTACCAGGGGAAAAGCAACCTGAACATTAAGCTTGTGCTAACATTTCAAAAAGGAAGCCTCCTAAGATTGGGCTGGGAGCACATAGCTCATCAGAGGTACAGCATGTACTTCAGAACAGGTAAGACTCTTAAGTTTGTTCCCCAAAATGGACATGCATGGACATGCACACACATACAGCAAGACCTATAGCCATTTTTCTACTAAGAGAGGAAACAGCCATGTAATTATCAACTATCTGATAAGCACACTGAGGAGGCTGTATGAGCACTGGAGGATCCCTGCCTTCAAACATTGACTCCCTGTTAAGATCAAAAGTATAATCTATACACAGTCACCTTAATTATGCCCAGAAGGTAGGTAAACAGGGCACCATGAGATGTTATCACAGACTTAGTCCCAGAAAGATCTATGACAGCATTTACTTAACTGTGGGGAAGTATAAAGCCAAAACAGAAACAAAAAAGGCAACAGCTGTTGGATGCTGAGAATATTACTTTTGGACAGTCTGAACCTGATCTCGAGTGCAAGAGGGCATTTACCTGGGATGAGAATGGCAACTGCAGCCTGCACAGCTCTGCGAATGATGTTGTCCATTGCAAACATCCAGTGAGGCCTAATTAAGTGGTTTCTCAAAATTCTGTTGACCTAAAAACAATCACAAACGTCCATATGTCTATTCTATTGAACTTTTAAGAAACATACTTAATAATTCTAATTTGTTTCTATTTCCTCTGAGATGAAATGTTGCTGTGCTGCTCTGGATTTCTGCCTGATTCATTCTTCTAAGTGAATTTTCCTCTAGGTAGGCCCCAAGTCACAATGGGTTCTAAATGATGAATTATCACAATGGGATAAATGACATTGGACCTCTTGGCTGTTTATTCAAGGAGCATTTATTAAACATCTATGACATGACAAACTATTGGTAGTATGTGACAAGATAAACCAGACTTGGCTTTGGTATTAGAGGAGCATACATCTAGGCAGGCATAAAAGCATACCCACTGTGCTGGCAAATGCCTCTCCCCATAACCTATACATGCTCTCTGGTCAAATGCAAATAATCCACTTTACAAAGTGTTATTTACTATGTGCTTACAAAAAGCTTCTGAGATTTTGAATTCAGGTTGTGAACAAATGAGAAGGAATGAGTGCTCCAGAACAGTGTGAAGAAACTGGTTTAGCTATCATGTTCTCCAGGGCCTGATAGAACACTCACAGCATCCTGGAATCCAAACAGGATCAGGTGAATCTGGTTGATAGAAGAGCTGTCAAAGTCCAGGTCCACCTTTAGTTTTGATATTGTAGCCGCCATCACCCTGTGCTCTGGGGAGCGGATGAAGTCCCTCAGGATTCCAATTATCTGTTTGATGTGGCCAACCGACAGGAGCAACTCTTCTGAACTCTGACAAAAACATACACACATACACAAAATCATTTTCATTTGAGTGAGTCAGAGAGGACGTAGAAATTTCCAAATGCATAGTGGGAAAGTAGACTTCATTTGCTAACAGCGTTGTAGGAGATCCTGAGTAAGGGTCTCTTCTTCAATCCCCTCCATATCTTTCCTGTCAGTATTGGGGGATCCTCTCTGACAGGTGGGTAGACATAAAGCCAGCACTAAGCCAGCTGGGAATGGTTCTATCTTCATGTTTGACCACTCTATAGGGCCCTCAGTGGGCCTTGGAAGGTACAGTTCACAGCAAGTCAATGGCCTTTCTTAAAAGTAACGTCCCATACATAATAAGAGGTGAGACATCACTTTGCTACTTACTACCGCAACCTAGTTAAAACTTTGTTTTCTACCATAACCATTCTCCCTACAGTGGCTGTTCTCTTAACTTCTGAGTGTAGCCCTAGCATGGTGGTTGTCAACTTTCCTGATGCTGTGACCCTTTAACAGTTCCTCAAGCTGTAGTGACCCCCAACCATAAAATGATTTAGTTGCTACTTAATAACTGTTTTTGCTACTATTATGGCTTATAATGTAAATAAATATCTGATATGCAGTTTATATATATGTGACTCCAAAGGGGTCATGACCCACAGGTTGAGAAGCATTGCTCTAGAGGCTCTCTGGAGGCCTTTCAGCTACCAACTGGCTTGTTTTCCATCAGAGGGCAGCACCACGCCACCAATGCACCACTCTGAAAAAGTACCTTTCAGGGGAGTTTTTCTTTGTGCTTTCCTTTGTTAGGAAAGGGAAGAGAAGTAAGTACAGTAATCATTACAACTATGTGAATGTGCCAGAGTACAGCACACCCTGTTGTCCCTGTTATCAGATGCCTTCCCTCAGCCTGTACCTACCTGGACCACACACTCCTGCAAGTTGGAAGCCACTTGGTTCTGTTCCTCCCAAAGGATTCTGTACAGGATGGCTCTGCGCTCACTGTCTTTGCGGAGCAGAAAAAGACCAGGATCCCTCTCCTCTGGGGATAAGGCTGTGCTTCGGTCTTCTAGGGCCGCGCTTTCATCTGGAACACTGTGGAATAAAAACATTCAACAATTCCTGTGTGTGTCTGGGAACAGTAGTATGTTCTGCCCTGGAGGAGACTCCAGAAGAGGAACTTGTGGAAGGAGACTGACTGGTGGGTAAGAGGTGTAGTATCCCCTTTGACTTCCTCCATGGTATCCTTGGGGGAGGGAAACAAGGAGATAAGGGGCCAAAAGGGAGGGTAAAGGAAGTGGAAGGGAATAGGGAGAACAGGGAGGCAGAGAGGATGAGAGGAAGAGACAAGAAAAGGGAAGTGGGGGAGGGGTAGGGGTAGAAAGGAAGAATAGGGACAACTAGAGAAGAGAAGGGACACCGGATAAATCAAAAGGGACCCTGGCTGAAGGAAGTGTTTCCTTAGCCACTCTGCTGCCCTGCAAAAACCCTTCCTGTGACCCAGCAGGTGTTCTATTACTGAGGAACAACCAGCACCCTGCAGAGGGACAAGGGACACTGACAGTACCTGAGAAGGTGGCTGAGCTGATGCTTGGGCACCTGGGTCTTCTCAAAGAATGCATCATGCTGGGCATCTGAGTCTGGGGAGACAGAGCCATGCTCGCTGCTGCTGCTGCACATAAGCTCACCTGCTGAGGGCAGGGCCAGGGTACCAGTGGCACTCCGGACACTCTCTGTGGAGAAACAGCCAGAGAGTGGCCAGGTTTCCAGATAAGGGCTTACTACTTACTAATCATGGACTGCTCTAATTTGCTGAAAATGTAGGTTTGGGGTGAACCTCATCTGGAATACAGCTCTCTGCAGCAAGTTGGTGAGCCACACTGCCATAGCCACCAGTGAAATGAGGACAAATTATTTTCTTTTTAAAGGCCAACCTTAGTTCACTGAAAGGACTTAATACACAAGAAAGTATCATGTAGGACTTTCTGGCCTACAGGACAGCAACCACAGGCAGACATGCCCAATGTGCCCTTTTATCAAGTTACTATCAACAAAGGATGACAGGCCAGACTTCAAAAATGGATCACCAGCCTCCACATGTGGGAAAGGTACAAAACCTGAGGCAGGGGACCTCCACATGTCTTCTTCCTCTTTACATTCCTCAAAGTAGTACTTTAAGTACAGGAAAGGGCATCATAGTGATCCATGAGGTGTTCTGTGCCTGTCAGAAAATAGATGGACAACTGGCTGGGTTTGCACACTCTTCAAACCTCTGGGACCACTCCTGCTGTTCTTCACACAAGTGGGTCTACCATGGGAAGCTTGGTATTCCAGGCACCCAGTTTTCCCCCTATGGGCATGAGAGGAGCTCAAGCCCAGGATGTTCTCCAGCTGTCCAGGTAGGCCTTACCTGAAGGCTTGAAAGCAATTCGATTCTTCTTGCCCTTGTTCACCTGCCTTAAAAACCCTTCTTGGAGTAGGTTAGCAGCAGTGGCCCGTTTGTGAGGGTCAGGCTCAAAACAAGATAAGATGAAGGCTCTGGCTTCAGTTGAAAGGCTTTCTGGAATTTCAGGATGAATCTTAAACATCCCTACCTGCATTGAAGGGACAGTTAATGTCAGTCTTGGGTGAATTCAGGTGCATGCACTTTCAAAAGAAGCTGCATGTGGAGGGCCCTTTGCTACATGGTGTTTCTGCTCCTCCCATGTACAGATGGAGTCTACTTCCCCTTTCCTGAAGTCTTAGCTAGTTTCTCACAACTTTTTACCAAGAAACTACTGGGGAAGCAATAGTGTGAGGCTTTCAGGACATAGGCCTTAAAAGGCCTGATAGACCCTGCTCTTGGAGTCTGGAGACCATCACAGTATGAAAAGGGAGCCAGGATAGACAACCATGTGGAAAGAGTGGTTCATTCGCCATGTCTGCTGTACTCTCAGCCATGCAGGAGAGCCCTGTCAGATGATCCCACCCCAGCAAGGCCACCAGCTGGATGCGCCCAGGAGTAAAGACCAACAGTCAGCTCAGAACTGTGAGGAACCACTGTGTTTTAAGCCTCTAGAGCAGCGGTTCTCAACCCCTTTGGCAAATGTCTATTTCCAGAAATATTTATATCAATCATAATTCATAACAGTAGCAAAATTAGCTCTGAAGTAGCAATGAAATAATTTTACGGTTTGGGGGTCACCACAACATGAGGAACTGTATTGAGAAATACTGCTCTAGAGGATGGTGGTTTCAGGATAGGAAAGCCTTCAGCTGAGAAAATTCAAAGGTTTCAGAGATCGTACTATCTTCCCAGAATAAAGACTCTAAGAGACACCACTCCCTCTCATACCTCTTTATCTCTATTTTACTCCACAGCCCAGATTCTTAGCCTCCAGCTCTAAGCCACAAGCAAGCACAGCCCGAGGCTGCCACCTTACAGATAAGCAAATTGTCCATCTTACAGATAAGATGGCCTCCTTCCCCCACTGGCTAAGGTCACATGTCTGAGGGAGGCATAAATGCTTTCTTGTTAGGGCTTGCAAGACCAAGCTAGCTCCAGTTCCTCTTCTTGCCAGCTAATCCACTGCCCAGTTAAAGGAGGTCCCATGTGAACCATAGTGAAGCAAGAGTCAGTCCCTGGATGTCACGTCCCATCATGACATAGGAATCTTCTGTGAAAACTCCTACATAACTTCTTCCTACATAACTGTTTTCATTAAAGGCTGCTCTCCAGCCCTTTAAGGAGCTGCCATCATAACCCCATCACCTTCCTGTGCCTTTCCCAACTCCACTATGCAACCCAGAGTTAGAAGCCACTTTGTCTTTCATATCCATACTTAATGTTCACTCCTCGGCTGTCCTGGGGGCTGTTTTTTTTTTTTGAGGGGTGTACACTTTGTTGAAAACTTTAAATACTCTTCCCATAGGACATCACATCTTCAACAGAGGCTCTTGTATGGCCGACACAGAAACATGAGTTTTCAGCTCGGAGAGTACAGTACAGAGAGTTTGCAGAAGGGCCCCTCAGGATGCATACATACATGCTCTTCTGCCAGCTTATCAGCCTTTGCCACAGCTTCTTCGGCTAAAATCTGCTGGAATCCTTTAATGGTCTCCTTCAAGGGCACCAGCTTTCCCATATGACCCGTGAAGACCTCAGCAACCTAGAATGGCTGAGACATGAAGTGCTGTATTTTTCTTGCCCGGGGCACAGTCAATTTATCTTCCTCAGAAAGTTCATCCATACCCAAGATGGCAATGATGTCCTGGAGAGATTTGTAGTCCTGCAGGATCTTCTGTACCCTGGGGGCTGGTTTTTATTCCCTTGCTGAATTCACTATGTGAGCTCTGAAACTTGAGAGCCTTCTGATTTTATCTCCACAAAGCCCTTGACCAAATAGCATGTCCCAGTCTCAGGACACCACTTCTCATAGCTTGAATGGATGAATGGTCTAAGAGTTACGAGACTATTAGATGCTGGATAGAATCCAATTACCAGGCATTATCTGTAGCACCCTCACCTGAGCAATGGGGAAGAGATGTTTGCAGTGCCTACCAGCACCAGAATACACAAAGATTAAAAACTCAGGGACTGAATCCAAAGTGGGAAAAGGTAGTTCCTCTCTGGTTCCTAGAATAAAAATGGCAAAGCACGTAGCACCTGGCATCTTGCACATGCATGTCTGGGGCTGGGGATAAGAAAGGGTCTCGTGTGTCCCAGACTGGCCATCAAACTTAGTATGTAGCTGAGGATGGCCTTGAACTCCTGATCATTCTGCCTCTATCTCCCAAGTGCTTCCAAGAGTGTGCCACCATGTCCAGCCTAAGTACATCATCAAGAGTGCTTTGATTATGTTTTGTTGGCAATAAAAACTGACTTCATGTACAACCCAAAGAAGTCAATACATTTCCAGAGTTTGTGGTTAAGCAAAAGCTGAAGACAGGAAGAGGATCAGGAAAGTTACTTCTGCCCTATGGATGAATTCAGTTCATGGCTGTCAGCTGTGCTTCCTGAGCACCACAAGAGTTCAACAGACCAGGAAGAAGACAACATGCTCTCATTAGCACCAGCTGCTCTAGATTCCAAGACCTGTGATGGAAGCTGGAAGTATGGCCTTCAATGGTCCCAAATGGATCAATTATAGTCATTGATGGTGCTGAGGGTAAGTTGTTTCTGTTTTGCAGCCCTTACATTCAGGGTTCTATTGGGATTGAAAAGTCAGAAGACTTTTTATCTTGGCCTTGAATTGCCTGATGTGAGTCAGGAAAGCTGTGAGAACCTTCTGCAAGGCTCAACTTCAGTGATGCCATCATGAGCTTCACACATCTGGGAAGTTCTGCCCCAACATCCATCCAAACCACCCAAATGAACAAATATATATTTACCTTGAACATGGCTGCTTGTGGCTCACCAAGCTCATGGAATGGAGGCCTGCTGGTTGCCATCTCAATGATGGTGCAGCCCAAGGACCAGATATCAGCTGGAGCACCGTACCCTCGAGGTCCTTGATCAATAATCTCAGGTGCCATGTACTGCAGAGTCCCTACATGAAAAACAAATGAGTGAAGACTTGGGGACACCATATTGCTTAAAAGTGGAGCATAAGTATTTAAGTGTGTGGATTTAACTGCTTTGGCAACGGCAGATGGGGACTTCTCTTTTGTGTAAACCATTTGGTTGCATCATTTTTTTGAGACAGGGTTTCTTTGAGTAGCTGTGTAGACCAGGCTGGCCTCAAACTCATAGAAGTTTGCCTGCCTCTGCCTACCAATTGCTGGGATTAAAGGCATGTGCCACCACCGCCCAGCCTGGTTGCATCATTTTTTTGATCAGTGACATGCAATATGCTTTCCTTTAACATGATTCATACTGAAAGAGGATTATTTACCCCCCCACAAAGATAACTGAGTCCAACTCGATATGCATATTTTAGGGGGTGTTTCAAGACAGGGTTTCTCGGTGTAGCCTTGGCTGTCCTGGAACTTGCTCTGTAGACTAGGCTAGCCTTGAACTCACAGAGATCTGCCTGCCTCTGCCTCCCAAGTGCTAGGATTAAATGTGTGCATCTCCACTCCCTGGCTTCAATAAGTATGTTTTTAATGCATGCCTGATACAAGGAAATTGGAATTTGAGACATAAGCAGATCAGAAGGAGCTAACATGGTAAAGAAGATGGCACAATGGTGGTGGGAACAGTGATAGTAAAATGCAGTGTTATAGAGATGGATCAGCCATTTATTTATTATTTATTTGGTTATTTATTTATTTATTTATTTATTTATTTATTTATTTATTTGGTTTTTTTCGAGATAGGGTTTCTCTGTGTAGCTTTGGAGCCTATCCAACTCGCTCTATAGACCGGGCTGGCCTGGAATTCAGAGATCCGCCTGTCTCTGCCTCTGGAGTGCTGGGGTTAAAGGCCATCCTGGATCAGCCATTTAAAGGCTAGGTTCACAACTAAAATGCAGTGCTATAATAGAGGTGCCTCAAAGAGGCTCATGTGGATGAATAAATGCTTGATTGGGCTTGGACTGGGTCAGGGAAATTATCAATGTGTTGATTTTGTTCGCTGACAAGCAAATGCTAAGACAAAGTAGATGTACAAGGAGTTGTTGGGGAGAGGGGTATGAAGGATAAAAAGGGAGGGGGGCAAGAGTGCCAGCTTACAATGCAATTTTAATCTCCAGAAATGTGGGGATGGGCAAGAATCAGGTAGGAGGTATCTCAAAAAGCCACTGCTGTGAGCCACCAGGGAGCTCCTGGCCAAAATTTGTATACTGGATGAGTTCCACCTTTGTCAGATCAGTCATTAGTTGGGAAGAGCCTGTGTAAAGCACAACCAACATGATCCAAAAGGGCAATAGCTGATGTTGTCAGTGAAGTTAAGTTTCTGCTGTAAAGATCAAAGAGGTAGAAAAAAGCAAATGAGGGCATCAAAGCAAAGGAAGTACTTGAGCAAAGCTCAAGTATAGAGTCCAAGGTACAGCCAAGTGATGGTTGATCTGGGGCAAGGTGACAAAAGGTAGCAAAGGAACAACCCTTGCCAAAACCCATCTGAAGGCTGAATTTGGACTTTGACCTGTGGGTCAGGAGCCACCAGAGTTTGCTAAAGGGAAGGTGGTGACTGGCTATGGCAACAGGAATGTGAAAGGAATAATGAAGGGAAATACATGGAGTGAGTGGGAGGTTGGAGAAGCCATCAGAGGGCTTGGGAAATAAAATCTTTGGGTTTCCTTAAATATAACATGAGAAAAGAAAGTGGAAATGTTGACATGCCTTAGGAGATACTATGGACTGACAAAGAGGTTTAGATAACCTTAGAAAAGGCATCACTCGAACACTGATGTCCAAAGCAAAGAAAACGGTCTGTCTCAAGACCACACAACTAACAGTAGCTTCCTGAGTTTTTAATCAATGAAGCTACTACATTCTTTTCTTGAAAGGCCAATGTCATGCTACCATTTTCCTTTCCTATAAAAAAATCAATTAATTAACAGAGACTCTGTAGCTCAGGTTAGTCTGATCTCACTATGTAGCCCAGGTTTACATGGAAAATCTTGATTTTCCTGCCTCAACCTCCAGAATATTGAGTTCATAGGCAAAAACCAGTATGCGTGGCATCATCATTCATCCAGTATCTCACTACATAACCTGAACTAGACTGAAAATCATTATTATATAGTCCAGGCTGATGCCAAACTCATGGTGATCTTCCTTTCTTAGCTTTCCAAGCCTCTATTAAGTGGGAACCACTATACCCAGCTTCCTATGAACATTTTAAAGAGTCTAGAAAGTTGTGACCAATAGAATGTTCTGCAATTATGGGCATGTATTCTGTACAGTCTGACTTGTTAGCCTTCAGCTACATAGGACTATTATGTTGTTGAAACATGCTTAATGAGCCACAAAAGAAATGAATTTTAAATTATTTTAAGTTAGTTTCAATCACTTTGAAGTTATGTATTATTATTGGTAAAGACAAACAGATCAGTGAGGTGCAAATAAATGCTTTGGCTTCCAGAGCCAAAATGAAGGGGGAACTGATTAGTCAGTTGCAAAGTTAGGCAAGATGAAGGTGCATCTCATGTACACTTGCACTGTGAAGAAATCCCAGTGCCTCAGGAAGGAAACTTCTGGTTTTACAATATCCCCTACAGGCTGTTGTTGCTGTGACTATCACAGGGAGTAATGTTGGCAGGAGTTTCTCCCTCCAATAATCTATAATTAAATAAGAAAGATTTAACACTGTATTGTTTATTAAGCACTCAGCTCACTCTGCCATATGATGTTGGGGCTGGTATGCCCATTCCTCCTTGGCTGCAGCTCCCTGTTAGGTTCTGCAACTAAAAGACACTAGAAAGACTCTGGAAGGGTGGAGGGGGACTTACACTTCCCTGTATGTTTGTTGTTCCTGTAAGCAGATCTTGATGTGGACCCTCAGGTTGGCTCCAAAATCCAGGGTTTTTTGTCACTCTACACTCCCAGAACCAGCTTCTTGCTCCTCAGAGGTACTTACACCACCCTAGGTACATTCTCTCCTCAAAGTTCTGATCCCACCTTACCATCTGTGCACTCCCACCCCTGTGAAGCCCCCTGATGTCTCAGTCTCCTTTCTGCCCTTTCAGTTTCAGTACTTAGAAAATAGTCAGTGAAAATAATTGGGTTATTTATATTTTCCTTCCTGGACTATAATTATTTCATAGACTTCAACCATATTCACACCCCTCTTCTCCCTCCTTTCCATATTTCTATTCATTCCCCCAGATAGCCTGTCTCCTACTGCTGTGTCATGTTCAGATGTGATTTATGAATCTATATAGGATAAGGATGCACAAAAGTAAGAAAACATACACTTGTGGCTCAATCTGACTTATTTTGCTTATATGGTGATCTCTAGTTGCATCTATTTTTCCTGGAAAGATATAATTTCATTCTTTATGTACAAAGGTGTTTTTAAAAGAGGAAAACATACATACAAGTACATTATATGACTCAATGGGTTATATTTAGGAATACACACACACACACACACACACACACACACATATATGCATGTAACAATAATTAGTGAAGAGAGAAAATGAATTTGAAATAGAACAAGGAGAGGAGTATATGGGGGAATCTGGAAGGAGGTAAAGGAAGAGGGAATGGTGGTATTATAATCTCAAAAATAAAGTAATTTGTAAAAGGAACATAAAAATAAATTTACATTATGTAGAATTCAAAAATAGTACTAAACCAAACAGTGATGGCTAACTGACCCTGATCAAGCAACTGTCTACCTTAGTATAATTTTTTTCATAATTAAAACCATAATTAGCCGGGCAGTGGTGGCGCACGCCTTTAATCCCAGCACTCAGGAGGCAGAGGCAGGCGGATCTCTGTGAGTTCAAGACCTGCTGGTCTACAGAGCGAGTGCCAGGACAGCCTCCAAAGCAATACAGAGAAACCCTGTCTCAAAAAACATAATTAATCTCCTTAAGCTAAGCGTAGAATTTACTCTGTATGAGACCACAGTGACTATCACCTGTTGTAAAGTTAAGGAATCAGTAAGGACATCCATATTATTTATTCTTATGTAATAAATTGCTCCCAAATTTAGCGCTTAAAAGAATGTATTGGTACACAGGATATAGCTCAGTAGTAGCACGTTTGACTAGCATTCACAATGCTCTGGACTCCATCCTTAACATAACCAAAAGAGTCATTATGGTCTCACACAAGACCTAAGGGTGGGGATCTAGTAGCAGCCAGCTGAGTAGGCAGGGATTTCTCCTATGAGGCTGAGTCCAGATGTGGATTGGGCTGCATGATTTAACATTAGACTAACGTGGCTAGGTCCAAGATGAATCTCCCTCTTTCAGACTGGGATGAGCAGGAAACTTCATAACTGCAGTTTCTCATAACATGGAATCTTTCAGAGGAGAACTCAAGACATGATTTCTATAAGTGAGTATCATCTGAGAGAAGGAAGTGGACATTTTTCGGCCACCATCACTTCTGTCTTTTACATTCAATGGAAGTGAGTCACTTTATCCAGTCCATATTCAACTATACTGGAGGCTGGTTCCTACATCTGACTTTGGGTCAGTATTTGATGGCATATAAGTAATTTCCATGTAGTGCTATGCATTTGACTTTCATAATTCTGGTAAGATAGGGCAAAGGGGGTGCCATCTACTGCTATTGCACATTTTATAACAGGAGGCAAGTGAAGTTCAGAGAAACTAGTCATTGAAGCTGGAACCCAGGTCTTCTATCCCTGAGTTCAGAATTTGACATCACTGAATTATATAACAAATCGAGAAGTACTGCTGAAGAAAAAGCTTCAAAGACGCACTATTATCTCTTTCCCACAGTTCTGGAAGATACAGAACAATGGTGGAAACCCAGGCACTCCATTTGATTCACTACTGTACTCACAGGGTAAGCATCTGTTCACATGGAACAGCCAATAGAGAGACATGGAACTACACAAATACTTCAGATAAAGGAAAAATCCCCCAGTGGTAAGTGTGTAGGGGCATGTGTCAATTCTACCAAA